CATTTAAGGACGTCAAACTCACCAATAACGAGAAGTATCAAGGATATTTTCAACCTTAAAACGAAGCAAAACACCGATCTCAGAGAACTGATCGATCGAAGGAGAACACAGCCCGATGGTGATGACCACTGACCAGTTACTGTGACGTCAAAAAACGTATTTCCGCGGTGTCTCTATCAGAGCAGTTACAAAACCGTAACAACAGATATCATTTAAACAACAGTAACAGGGCATTAAGAGCGTAGAAACAGAGCGGTAACAGTGCAGCAACGGAGCAGCAACAGGATGTTTTAATCTTTGATCATGAAGCTATTTACTCTTTCATATACCACAATTACATCTTTGAACTGCGTTTAAGAGAAAAATGAAACGTGAACAATAAACGAAACAGACATGAGACATTGAAAACTGATACAAGTTATCAAAAACTGGTTCTTACTTTTTATAGCGTCACATTTCTTGCCAGTCCAAGGCTCTGTGCACAAACATGAAAATGTTTGTTTCTTGTCATCAGACAAACAAGAACCACCATTGAGGCATCCGGTCATGAGACAACCCTGGATTGAAAATGTGAGATTGTAAATGCGAAAATACTAAGATATTTGTTACAATTGTTCATGTTGCGATATTTTATGGCTTAACGTATATTGGTGTAACTGGGCTTAAACCTAGGTATATATATGCTGGGCGCTGCTTGAGGGACAGAATTTTGTATGATAAAACACAATGAGTTGTGAATTAGAATGAATATTAAAGAAGCCAGGATTTAGAATGTATCTTTGGTGGTATCAAACAACTTCCACAGTACTGCCCCTTTGAACTGATAAAAAAAGAAACAATAAGACAAAAACATTCAACATAAGCTAATTAAAGTCAATCATGGAGGACTATGTCTTAAACCGTAACAGGTTTTCAGTGTAAATTGCTTTCAAAGTAAACTGACCGGCGATTATTTCGATATCATGTTTTACCGCGCGATTCCCTGCACAGGATAACCAAGGCATGTGGCACTTACCAGGAGCTACACGCGACCCTGCAAAAAGAACCCCTCACAAGGAAAGAGGTGCAACTATGGGCAAAGGCATGGCACGCCAATGGCACAGACCTCTTTACCTTAGAGGGCTTAGAGTATCTAGAAGTTACATACTTATTATCACTCGGAATTTCCATTTGTCAGACAGACGCTATGGGGACAATGCAGAAGCCACACAGTACTCCAAATTATGAGATTTTTAGCGGGCAAGGAGGAAGATCTGATAACGTGCCCAACTACAGCTGTCAAGCCGTGTTCCAAGATTTTTCAAGGGAACTGTGTTTGCAAGCTCTTAACCATATCTGCGTAGTAAAGTTTCATTGAGAGCCAAGTAAAATCAGCCAGTTCAAGCTGTTCTACTTAAAGCAAAAATCATTAAAGAAGACCCTGACATGGCCTTACTGTGCCTGAGACCCAGGCCTATTGATCACAAACTGCCATCGCCTACCGAACTACTCCTTAGTTTGACCATCCAAGGCAACCCTACGCGGAAAATCAGCAGACAGCCCTTGAGGTCTGCAAGGCAACTTCCTGGACCAAACCCAAGACAAAGATAAATCATCAAGGATCAAACGAGACTGGACTTGAAGGAAGCCAAGGTGAAAGAAAAGCATGCAGGAATCCTCCGATCATATGCCGTGACAACTCCAACTAGGTAAGAGCTGAGGCGCGCTAAAACCCATATAAGGGTGGTCCCTCAGAGCAACCAAGAACTCGAACCAGACACAGATGAACAACTCGTGGTTCAAGTCACCACCAACCCAACTGTTGCGGTTTCAGTTTCTTCAGAGAATCAAGCCACTGAAATCCCGGGCGGTTATGTAACTCGGATATGGATTGACAGGTCTCCCGTGAAGAGGCTGGATATGTAACTTGCTCTTTGTTGTACAATGCTGTCTTATTAACATAAGGAACTTTTGATGTAGCTTATCGCTTATGTTCCTTTGCTCAGTTGACATGTTATTTTGTTTTGTTGTTATAACTCCCCTAATAAAAAAAAAAATTGCAATTTCCTTGATTGCGATTGGTTTAAAAAACTCCTGTTTTCCACTAATTCACTTGCCAAGTTGTTAACGGGCAGTTTGCTATTCGACAGTTTGTTATCGGACAGTTTGTTATTGGTCAGTTTGTTATCGGACAGTTCAATAGGCCAATCACATTTAAAGTTGAAGTTTACATCAACCAATCACATTCAAAGCTGTAGTTTAAATTGACCAATCACATTCAAAGTTGGAGTTTAGTTATAGTTGTAGTTTAATGCCAATTTTCTTTTTCTTTCATAACTTGGCTCTTCTTCTTTTCTCGGAAATTGTAATTTATATGATTAATTGGTTATAAGACTTCGTGTCGTCGGTCTGTATTCATATTCGTGATAAACAAATTGGACTCCCGCTGCGCGGCCATCCGGTTTTGTTATCACTCACATGATTACAGACTTTACTAAATCCATTTTTAAATCACTGGTTATCCTTGCAATCTGATTGGCTCTCAGTGGTGCGATTTATTCACGAATCGCAATATTTTTTGCTCTAAATCGCATCTTTTTCACAGCCAATGAGAATGGGACAGTAAAACAAAAGCACCAATCAGATTTCAAGATTAGTTTAAAGTAATCAATAAAATTTCAGAAAAATGAAAGGCAAAAAGCCATTGTGTGGAGAATTTTGCAACTACTATTGCCAAAACTTTGTTGTTATTGTAGTTTTTTCCAAAAAAGTTGACGAATTTAATTAATTGCAGTTTCTGAATGACGATTATGAGCTCCTTCAGGCTGAAGACCTACTTTAATGGAAGTTTCCAACTTTCAGTGTCTATTTTGACGAATAGTTTGGCGATTTTTCTTCAACATCTGCTCAAGATCCGTATGATACCGAGTACAGTAAAACATAAACAAACGAAAACCACACAGCAACAAATTCAGAGCCATCTCAAGAAGGTAGATATTTCCAGGTTTTCAGTAGTTTCAAACGAAGCAACAAAAGAGCTCAACTCTGTCGCTGTGAATAAACATAGTCAAAATACACCACACTGTACAAAATAGTGAATGAACAAACGCCTTACGAAGCCGGTGCTAGTCTCGCCATCTTAGAAATATCTTAAAATAAATGGCGCCGCAAGAACTTGACAAGGTCCTGAGTATTGAGTCCTACGCCGAGGTCACAAAAAGAGACGGAGATGATAACTAGCTGGACTCCCCTAAGATCATGTCATTGAACGGTGTTTAAAAGGAAAAAAAACCAACTATCCACTGGGCATCGTGCACTCGAGGGAGTTTCACAACTCAAAAGAAATCGATCGCAGAATTACACAGGATATGCACCTTCAAATTCCTGCTCCAAAGACAATGAAAAGTGTCAGCCTCAACCTCAGAAGAAAGGAAGGCTTTCCATAATTGATTCAGGCGATGAGAATTGAACTTTTATACCTGAAGTAGACTATTTTCGTTCTGACTTCAGAACTTCTTGTTTCTTTGTCATGCTCAAATGAGTTTTTGTCACATGACATCGTTTTGCATACTAAATGAGACGTAACGGCGTTTCCGGTTCCGCTATTTTTAACAAACCGGCTACTGGAACAATACACCAAAAATATAAAATTTAAGGCGATAAAATTGTGCGATTTCAAAATGGATCTAATAAAGTGGCAATTGAACTGAGTAGAGTGCAATTTTGGTCGGAAATCATACTTGTGATTTCAGACCAAATTGCACTCCACTCAGTTCAATTACCATTATGAATTGTTTATGATTACAGACTGAATTGGACGGCTCCACTTAGTCCTATTACCATTTCTTATGAGGAGGAGACGGACGCCGCGATATGTACTTCGAATGTATCTCCGGTGACGTAAGCACCACATGAATCATGATGCCTTGCGATTTTTACTTACCACAATGCTGTTAGTTTCAAAAAAATTAAAGGAGTTTAACTGTCTCCTGCTCTTGACATACTAGCTAGCATTTATGTCGGTCGCTGGATAGAAACCTAATGAATAATTAGCGGCGTTTTCCACTTTGAAAGGTTATTATGACCGGTGGCTAACAAAACAGATAAATAAGTTAAGAAAAATAGAATAAACATTAAAATATCTAGTCTGAAATGATGATCTTGCTTTAACTGCTCTCGTCGGTCAGTATCTGAAATGAGGCACGTCTGGCAAAATTAAACAAATATAATTTATGTTGAAGCCTCGCTCGAATATTTGACGAAACTAACTAAATGTTCCTTTATGGTTACGAGTTGTAGTCATTTCAGGCTGAATTGCTTCCAAAATTAAGATCAATGTTGGAGAATGACGGTCAAAAAGAACAAAAAGGAAAAAGGAAAGAAGGACTCTTAAATGTGTCTCGATGTAATTCGACGTGGGCTAAGAAGACAAATATTATTACAACCATCTCAAGCTTCCTTGACAAGACGTTTGAGAAGAGAGTCATTAAAAGATGGCCAATAATTTATTCATTTTATATATAACTTTGGAAGAATAATGAGGAGTTAACTCGGAATTAGGGCAATATACGTACGGTGCCCAAAGCTTTTTGACGGTGAGCTAGCAAGACAGCTGATAAAAAATTTGTTTGCGAGAGATACACGCTAAAATTATGTCGACAAATAGCGAGCAAAAGACCTGGTAAAAAATTGTTTACGCTAGAGGTGCGCGAGCGAGCAAGCGAGCAAAAGACGAGAGACGCGCTAAAATTATCGACTGTGAGCGAACGAGCAACCCGCCAGAAAAAGTTATCGCAAGAGACGCGCCTAAAAATTGTCGTCTCCTGGTTGCGAAGAGAGACTTCGATTCCTTTCCTAGTTAAAACTGATTATAACAGAAATCTGTTTTTGTCTCTTATTCACGGCGACGACGGTAGCGGAGTAGAAATTTATTGCAGTTGAATACCGCTATTTGGAACTCCGAGGTTTGGAACCCTCAGGGGAATAAAAAACTAGGTCGAAATTAGCAGGAGTTCGAAACAGCCGTTAGTAAATGACCGAAGAACAGATCCCAGGGAAATAGTTTTGAGTTTGAAATAACGGGGTTATTCGCAATAATCGTGTTCAAATTAGCGGAGTCCGACTTTATCTATCCAGTTATGTTTCAAAACAGGGGAATTTGGACCTTTGTTTTCTAACCTGCTTTGTTCGAGTCAGTCAGACTCACTTTTGTAAGGAGCAAAGGCACAATTTGGATAATTATTTAAGGATCCATACATCAAAGGTGATTATCTCACGATAGATTGTACGAAATAAGGACAACCTGATAGGGATTATAGAATTTTGGAACTCGTATCGATTGATATTTTAACAAATTACCATGAAGCTATTTAAAGAGGTTCAGTCAATAAAATTTAGGGCAAACAAACGAATAGGAAAAGGCACGCAGTAAGAGATTTAACTTGCTGCTGTGGTTCTGATCATGAGCAAAGAAACTAAAGAGCAAAGCAACCGCGAAGAAGTCCGGAATTAGTTTTACGGGTAACAATGCTGTTAAATTTTATCAATAAAATAATCCTCATTTAAATTCATCAACTCACCTTTAAAAGCAGCGAGAAAGTTACGTCCTCCTGATCATGGAATTTGATGTCTTCATTGATATCGTGCTTGTTAAGTTCACAAGTTCCTTTGTCGTCCTTCTTGGAAGACATCATGAAGTTTGTGGACGTACACCAACTGTTTCTCAAACACAACTGGCTGCACGACATCAAACTGGGAGACTCAAAGCGCTTTACAACGTGGCCTTGAAGTCGTTTATTTTCATGCGTTGTGAAGTATGCTGAACGAGAAAGTGATTCTTCATCGGCTGCAAAAGCCGCGAAGTATACAACCCGCTGAATGAGAATAACGAAGAAAACGTCTTTAAGTGGCTGCATTATTTACAGAACTCAGTGCGATTTTTTTTAGCAGCGAAGTCGTCGAGTTAGAAAAAAAAAAAAAGAATCTTTCGTATATATTCGGCAATCCTCGTTATCCCAACTGACACACCTTGCCTTTTCGTGCCCGTATAAATTACTGTGTAGAGGACTTTACAATGCATAATTACCCGGTTATATAATTAGCATAGTAAAGACAATTGATAGGTAAGTGTCAGCGAAAATTTCCTCTTCCCATACAGAAAACACGAATTACCTACTTTATGAAATCACTACTCTTTTTAACTTTTCCGAGGAAACGGGCAATATCTCTTGTAGCATGTATTTTATTCTGTTTTTCAGGGTACGAAGAGGCCACCTAATAAGATGGTCACAACACAGTTGAAAAATTAATCAATCAGTCAATTTACGAATAATATATACGTAAAAAATAATAATAATCATAATACAAAAGATTATCTCGATTTTTAGTCCAGAGAGGAAGGCGCTTCGAACGTTATCTACGACGGTCAACTTTTGGCAATTTCGAAACTTAAGTTCTGGTGGGTTGCGTGCATATGTCAAGCATACGATACTAGGTTGACACGCTGAAAAGCAGATACGATATTTAAAATGTTAATTCTAGCTTCTTAACACTTAACTCTTGAGTTAAGTTTAACATAGACTGTCGAACATTTTTCTTGCGAAGAGAGGAAAATGATCGTTACAGTTAGCGTACGTTTCAGACAGGTAAATTTAAAGTCCATTTCCCAGATACAGCACTGTATAGAAAACTCGGACTGGTGCATGTATCAGCAGGTGATATGCCAGAGCGCAGAACAATTGAGAGACTGTCAAAAACTGGGAACACAGACCGAGGCCACCTAGTAGTAACTAGCTTGCTTAAACAACCAAACGATAATAAATATACATTTATTTTCTTTTTTTTCTGAAAGCTTTCTGTATGCAATTCTCTTGACAGCAAGTTTTCGAATAGTATGAAATTCGTCTGAGAAGCCTTGAGAACTGCCTGAGAACAAAACTAATTATATCAGGGAATTTCACAGCCTACGAAGGAGCATTCTTGGCAGCTTGTGTTGCCTGGACCATCCTAGAAACTTTCCTCTAGTGTGGCTGTTTAGCGACCATTCTTGAGCTCTTACTGCGGGAAAGCTTTGTTAGAGGCAGGTTTGCTTAGTACCCCCAAATTGTGGGCAAAGTTTTCAGCTTCCCACGCTGAAACCCTCGCAAACGTTTTTTTTTTTCTTTTAATTTTGCTACTACGTATTTCCCAGGGCCCCTATAGATATCAACTTGGGAAAATAAAGTTATTGTTCATACTTACTTAGTTACTTGCTCGCTTGTTTGCTCGCTTGCTTACTTTATTTTGCTTTTCCGAAGAAAAAGGCAATGTTTTCCACATTATTAAATCATACGGATTAAAATCCTCTGAAAAATTCTTAAGAAAATTGGTCGTCAATGAAGCTTGATTAATGTCATGCGCTTCTAATTCTATATAACAGGGTATGAAGCGACAGTCCGATACGGCCACAAACCGAGACACAGTTAAAAATACTACTACTACTACTACTACTACCACTACCACTACCACTACCACTACCACTACCACTACCACTACCACTACCAC